GTGTGTGTGTCCTGTGATGGACTGGTGTGTCCTGTCTAGGGTGAGCGTGTGTGTCCTGTGATGGACTGGCGTCCTGTCCAGGGTGCCTTGTGCCCACTGCTTGCTGGGATACACTCTGGCTCCCCGCCTCCCTGCTGGGTAAAGCAGTTACAAAATGAATGGATGGAAGAGTATAAATAAACTTGGAGTTGCTCGCAATATTACTCAGAAATGCATGCATTTTAACTTTGTTTATTCAAATATGTTAATCTTTTTAACACTTATTCTTCCCAGCTATTAGAGATTAGGGGTCAGATTTAGAGAAGTGGAGGTCTGGATGGAAGACGGACTTCCTCCAAGTCTCCCAGGGTCCTGTGAGCGCAGTCCAGAGCAGACTCGGCCGAGCGGACACTCCGGCCGCTGTCCCGCGGTCTTTCCGACTCTCGGTGCTCTTGTCTGGGCAGATGAAGGACCGGTATGGAGACCTGAGCACGATCTACCTGGGCCGGACGCCCGCAGTCCTCCTCAACGGGATCGGCGTGACCAAGGAGGCGCTGGTGCACAGGGGGGCGGAGTTCGCCGGGAGGCCGAGTATCCCTGTGCTGGACTGGATCATCAACGGGCTGGGTGAGCCGCAGGCAGGGAGCTGGAATAGCTGACACACATCCGGGAGCTAGCACGCGAGAGGGTGGGGTAAACACTCCCAAACACACATTTCACAATGCATCCTCTATTCCTTCCTTCCCCAGAGCCGGATTCTTTCAGGGTAAGATCTGGGTTGCAGATACCCAGGGGGTGTGTGTGTGTTTCCTGTGATGGACTGGCTGTAATGAACAGTTCTTTCCAGACCCTATGCGGACGACACAATCCGAAGAAGTGAGGAAACACTAGGAAAACGTCATGCAGGAATACGGGGCTGAAAACAGGGGGGCGTGTCCAAAGTGCGCTGGTGCACGGGGGAGGTGTGGCCGAGGCAAACAATCCAAAAGAGTAATCCATAGAGGGAATCCAAAAACACAAGAGTAAGTCCAGAGCCAGGAGATCCATCCAAACAAGGAATTAAAAACACGAACCGGGTCGG